TATTCAAATTATGCAAGGAAACCCGTTTATTTGCTAGACTTCACTGTCAGACACTGTTGAGTGACTGACTGGCTTTTTTTCTTATTTGGTAATAACATACATAAAATGAGCTGTAAAGGGTACATGAGCATTTGTCTACATCAATAACCCACTTCTTGTGATGGCCAAAATTAAACTGATTGAATCTTTGCACAGCATAAAACGTATGACCGTTCGGTACAATGGTCTGAAAATCAAGACTATTACTTATTGGCTCTATAGCTCCTAAGTCGATTTGACAACTAATAGTCGTTATTTTCCCACTTGAAAACATTTTCAAGCCCTACCTTTTTTAGAGAAGTTCTAAATTAGTATTATCTTTCAAATGCCGTTGGAATTTAACCTTTTCATTTTGTTGGCCTGCAAATGGGACATAGTACCTTTAACAAGCCGTTTATCAGGATGCCATCCGGACAACGTCCAGACGTCACCGCGATATCACCCTGGCCCGACTAGGGTGACATTTACCTCGATATTGTCCGGACGTTACCCCGATTGACGCGTCTTAACAGGAAGGGGGTAAATGTCATCCGGACAACGTCCGGACGACACCGCGACTTTATTTTCCGGTTAAGACGGGGTTTTAGAATACCGTGTAATGTAAAAAGTGTAATCTAATGAATCTTTTAACATTTCAATTGTCTACTTTATGCCGATTCTGCAAGATAGGAAGAGGTGGATTGCCTCTGCTTGCTTTAAAGTCGTAGTCATTGATAGCTTGCTTGTAACCTAAAAGTTTTTACCTAAAACACGATTGTAGAGACTTTCAAGAAATCAGCTAAAAACTTCAGTAGCCTATCGTTTGCCTTCAGAAATCTTGTTAGAGTAATGTCATTGTAATTTTCATTCACTTTAAAAGGTGATGCACAAGGCTATTGATATTGATGTTTTTTTCTCGAAAATCTCTACGATCGTGCTGTACTTATCGATGACTGAAATACGATGTTCGATTTATAATCTAAAAAATAAATAATGTCTTATAATGGTAATATGCATCGTAGCCCGGGGCTGAATTGTACAAATGTATTTTACAAAAGTACTTAGGTGAGTCTTATTCTGAAAATAATATCATAATAATACAAATAAACAATCCGCTGTATACAATTATTGTAAATATTGCTCATTACTTTGATATGAACATAAAATAACATCAGTAACGAGCTGTCTGCTCTATCATGGCTATGATAGTATATAGTTGTTCATATAGCACGCTATTCTGAATTAATTGTACATCCTTTGTCTTGGTTAAGATTTCGCTTCTCAATAACCATATCCAATGACAATGTATTTATCTTTCGAAACAGTATAATCTGTATTTCTACGCAGAGCTATTGAATACGCGTTAAGTCGTCATTCATGATATAAAAACAATGATTTTAAATCAGAAACGCAGAATTTGTATTTGAAAATATATATATATGTACTCTCCTACGTATCATCAATTACTGGTACTCCTTTGATTACTGAATTTTGTATCAAGCATTGTCATCATGTTATTTTTTTTAACAAGCTATTACTCATTCTTTGGATCATAAAAATGTTTCAACGTGTAATAAAGATTGTGTAAAAAGGTATAATAAATAATAGGCTAATTTGGGTTTTTCATCTAGAATAGAAGGAATAAGAAAGTGAAACTACATTGTAATATCTTCAACATGGTATGTGTCCATTATAAAAGTTGATAAAAACGTGTACATGTATATCCATTTGTACTCAGATGACTGATATTACAATAATGTAAGCGTATATTCAAGTGATTTTTGTTTATCCACGCGCAACATGTAGATTGAAATCCAAGGTAAATAATTAAAGTTGTAAATAAGTAAGCATGAAGCAAACAATTTATGTTTTGTCTGTACTTCTCAATATGGGATAGCGTCTAAACGTGTGTGATGTAGATCATAATTATAAGCACAGAGGTGTAAAATAGGGTAATTGGAGGTTTGAAATTGATGCCTTTTTTGGGGGAAGGGGTATACTTTAAGGCATCGAACGTGCTCTTACTTAGAAAGGCATTGTTATAAGGAAAAGTAACGTAGTGTTTTGTTATACGAGCAGAGGCCTTATATCAAGCAGGCACGTAGCCACGGGGGGGGGGGGGGCACGGGGGGGGGCACGGGGGGGGGGGGGGGGGGCACGGGGGGGGGGGGGCTTGCCCCCCAAAAAAATTCCAAGATCGGTTGAACTTTTATAGACCCCTTTTTTGACCTCGATCGATTACATGTATGTGCCCCCCCCCCCTCCCCCAAAAATCAAACTCTGGCTACGTGCCTGCTTATATGATGCGTATGAACAATGAACATGATTTCAGATCCAGTGTAATAACTCCTTGGTCAGAATGTATGTCGACAACAGCTCCCTTAAAATACAATGTTATCATACACGAGGTACAGATCAACTTGGCACCGGAAAAGATACCAGGAAGTTCCCAGCTCCTTGGGCCATATATAGACTGAAGTTGGATCATCACTTGACTAGTTTCAAGGGCACTATTTGATAATGAGGTGTAATTTTGAAATGTTTGAGAAAACCTGAAGACACTTAGCCTACTTACTATCCTCCTCCCCCCCCCCCCCCCTATTCCGGCTCGGCTGCCCGATCAAGAGTTGTTTGCATATGTGGAGTGTTTGTGCGTTGTAAGTTATCTCTCGGGGGTGCGTGTGGAAAGGAACTTTGCCCCATTACTCAAAATAAGGCAGGGGTTCCCCTCCTCTTATTCTCACTGTCTATGTACCTTTCTTTTTCTGTTAAGGACATTACAATGTTTAAGTCGACGAAGGTTTACACCATTATATTGAGTGAATTCGACTGAATATGCAGTCATGTATCGTGAGGTTTTTCTTTTCGGGGGGGGGGGCATGGAATGCATAATTGAGATAAAGAAAGTGATCTAAATTGTTTCTTCAAAGCTCTCAATGACATCAAAATTTTGAAGTAGATAGCAGTGTGATATTTAGAAAAAAAGTCAACATTATAACGAATCCGTACGGTTAATCGACAAAGCAGGTACAAGACCAAAATATATGTAACCTGAATCAACACAATTATACATCGTGACACAACACACTGCAGCGGGAGCAAACCCTCTTCCAGTCCTTCTCAACTGTATTATATTTCCTTGTTCAAATTTGAAGAAAGAAAAACACATCAAAAATTCCCTAATGTTTTGGTGGAGGAAATATCTAGAAAACGGATACAGGTTCATGCAAATGGGATATCAGGTCATATCCTTAACATTATGAACAGGACCTACCAATTTCCTCTTCTCCATACATCTCTTTAAGAATTATTGGTAGGGCCTATATTTAATCAGATGCTAAGATACAATTCATGCTGTTCTAAGGCATAAAGACAGGGAGTGTTCATTAAAGGTACTAATGTTCCATTTGCAGGCCAACGAAATGAAGGTTAAATTCCAACAGCATTTGAAAGATAATACTAATTAAGAACTTCCCCTAAAACGAAAGGGCTTGAAAATGTTAAGTGGGAAAATAACGACTTTTAGTTGTTGAATCGATTTTAGCGATTGCAATCCTTCTAGTAAATAGTCTGATTTTCAGACCTTTGTACCGAATGTTTGTACGTTTTGTGCTGCGCAAAGACTTAATCAGTTTAATTTTGGCCATTGCAAGAAGTGGGTTAATGATGTAGACAAATGCTCATGTACCCTTTACAGCTCAGTTTATGTATCTTATTACATAGTCAGTCACTCAACAGTGTCTGACAGTGAAGTCTAGCAAGTAAACGGGTTTCCTTGCATTACTCGAATACTAGGACACTGCTAACGTTTACATTTCACAGATAGGACATACGTGACATATTCAGGCGCAGATCTAGGGGGCCGAAGGGGCTTAGGCACGCCCCACCTCCCCCCCCCCCCCCCCCCGCCAAAAAGAGAAAGAGAGAGAGAAAGAGAGAGAGAGAGAAGGAAGGAAAGGAAGAAGAGGAGAAGAAAAGAAAAGGGGAAAAGAAGGAGATCGGGGGGGGGGGGGAAGGGCTTTGCCTCGGAGGCTGTTGCCTCCTTCCCCCCCCCCCCTTCAAAAAAAAAAGAGAGAAGGAAGGAAAGGGAAAGAAAAAAGGAAAAAGAGGAGATAAAGGGAAGGAAAAAAAAGTAAAAAGGGGGATATCAGTTGCAAGTTGACCGCCAACAATTTGTTGATCGGGCGGGGGGGGGGGGGGGGGGCAAAGGCCCTTGCCTTTCTCCGCCCGACAAAAAAGAGGAAATAAAAGAAGAAAGGTAGGGGAGATCATTTGCATATTTACCCGCCTTCAAGGTGTGGGCCGAAAGGCCCTTGCCACCCCTTCCAGTGTCGCAAGTTTCATCTGACCGTAATTATATGCCTAAAACCCCGAGCTTCCGGGAGCTCTGGACCCCACCTATAGCCCCAAGGCGGCCCCCTGGATGCTTATCTGATGGTAATTTTATGCCTTAAACTCCTGAGCTTTTGGGGGCTCCACGCCCTCGACCCCACCAGGCATGCCCCTGAATGCTTATCTGACCGTTATGAAATGCCTCAAATCCCTGAGTTTCCTGGGGCTTTTTTCTGCCCCCCCCCCCCTCAAACTTGTTTGCTCATTACGCCACTGCTGGTCACCATTACGTAACAATATTTGGCTTGCATGATTTCAAATTTGGTCACCCCCCCCCCCCCCCCCCCCCTTAGAAATCCTGGATTCGTGCATGGACATATTAATAATTCCTGCAAAGTTCTACAGAATTTGATGTTGGCTGCACATGGGACATAGTACCTTTAGAGGGAGGATGACAAAAGAAGAGACGGAATGTGTGCGCGTGCGTAGATGTGTGCGTGTGTTGGTTTGGATCTATGGTTCGAGTGTTTAAGAGGGGGTGGGGTTAGATAGGAAGAGAAAAGAGAGATAAGGAGTAAAGGTGGAAACAATGAGATGAAACTGGTGAAGATGGAGGGATATAAAGAAATAGGCATTCACAGAAACAACTCTAAATGAATATGTTTTCAAACTTCAAGTTTAATATGAAAATAATTTCCTTTCATTTCTATTGCATTTTTACAAATAAAAACTCATTGTCAGTACAATTGATTTTAATATTAGATAGCTCAAATACGGCAAAGTTTCAATTAATATTTTAATGCTTGTTATACACCCTTGTCCCAATATGGATCTTTCTTATATTTTTCTTAGGTATGTATGTAAAATTTTAAAATGATCCTTTTTAATATTTACACATTTGAAAAGTTTATTGCATTTCCCAGAGTTGCACAATCATAAACAACACAATTGCTTAAAATTCAACAAGAAATCCATTTTCATAGGTCAACAAATCGAGATTAATTGATAAATTAGTACTCTATCTTATATAAAACAGTACCACCTTCTTTTGTCTGAACATTTATGAACTTCCTTTAATATAGTAATACTGTCTTTCCAATTTTGTTTACACAGACAAATAAAACTATTCATTTGGAAATTACATAGCACACATGCTTTTTCAATTTTTATCTACTGTCCAATTATTTCATTCATATAACATCAATATTTTAAGAAAAAAATGCAAGTAAGTCATTTACTTGTCAAAATAAAAAAATTGCACACTTTATGGTTTAAATAATGCCTGGACTGGCCTCCACAGGACAGCATAAAAAATAACCCTGCGGCACATACTCTTATTTTACAATCCACTACGAGGATTCAATAGGTTAAAGCAGTTTATTCTCAGCAAAGATTTGCTGTGTTGTATTATATCAGAAAGCTAGGTAAATCCAAGTCCAGGAAATTCCAGAAATAGAACTCATGGACATCCCGCTCAAAGCTATGACCACAACCCGTTATCTGACTTCATGGTTTTTTCCTTCTTAAAACAAACTTCCTGACAATACATTTATGGAGTTCTTGAAAGTTGTCCATTTCGGGTTTACCTTTTATGGTCAAATGCATGATAGGAAACACTAGAATTCTATTTGTATCTAGTAAGTCTGTGGTGTGTGTATATATATAATTTATAGAGCAAGCAGGTATGTAACATACTCAAATCAGTCAGGAATTCTAGTGCATATTGTGATGAAGAACAAGTGCAATAAATTGTAACAGAAAAGAAGGTCGGTGACCAGTTTCACGTTTTTTTTTTTAATCGAGATTAAAATTTGTTATTATTAATATAAATCGCTGTTAAATAATAACAATTAAAAAAAAGTTTCAGTGGCCAATTAAAGCAGCACTGATTTCAGTTTTGAACCATAAGGATAGCCTGCCTAGGTATACACATACAGTTTGTTAAATTTACATATTGCCATCTTCACTATTATTGTCACGTTCAAAAGCATTTACAGGTGTTTTTTACTTCAAATTGTTATTTCCTCATTTTGTTCATGGTAAGCTTTCCTGATCAAATCATTGTTATTTCACCAGAAGCAAATATAAATACAAACCACCACACTCAAACGATATGATTCTTTATTGCTATCACTTCCTTTTCGAAACCAATAACAGGATTATGATCTAGGTGAAGTGCCATATTTCCGTGTACATGACTTCCTCCCTGGGTAGACTTTTTCTTGGAGCTTGATTTAATTTAATTTTCTCAAAAATCCCCACCTTCTGAAACCATTTATGTGTATAAAAAACAAGATTTGGGATTTTGTGTTTAAATCATGTAAAGGGCATCAGTCATTTACAGGTACCTGGAAATGCAGTTCATGCTCAGAGACAGACCATTGCAGGAAAGTAGTTCGGCACGTACTTCAAAGCCTAGGGTAGCTACATGGGGCCATACACTGGCATGGCATGTACATACATGACTTAGTGCATGGTAGGGGCAGTGGACTGGTATCTAGGAGATCCTGGTTTCGAAAGTCCCTTGGATAGGACTTGGAGCTGAAGAACAAAAGATCACTTGACATACACTTGCTATCTTAGCAGTCAAGTAAAACATATAAGTCATCACTGTTTCCCAACTCACATTGTTTCTGACTTTAAATTTATGAAAAGTTGGCATTTAAATGATGATACTTAGAGACTTTGTTTGTATTGGCATGTAATAATCTTAGAAATTCCCTTTCGAAATGTTTTTTAATAGTCTCTCCATTTAAATGACATCTAACCCCCAGCTTCCTCATTACCACAAACACATACAACAAAATTCTTTCATAGCCAATTTAAACAAGTACCACTCAAGAAGTACCACTCAAGGTACAGTCTAGTGTACTTCCTTGCCGATGAAACATTTCCTGGTTGTACATTCATGATAATATACAACCCGATCATGAAAATGAGTCATCCTACTTGAATAGACAAGCACAAGAGGAAATGTCAAGGACCATTTTATGTTTATTTTGTCTACCTCCATAGTTACTCACTTTATTCTTCCATAATTAATGATAATAATATCCCGCTTTTATATAGCACTTAATAAATCAACGATGTGTCTAGGTGCTTTACAGATATATTACCACTTTCTATTCTTAACCATAGGTATAAACAGTTTCAAATACCCTGTGAACAAGAAGATATATTATCTATATTTGATTTTATGGAAAATACTTCCTCATTCATCATAAACACGTTCTAGAATGGACATTTCTCAATAATGATTCTGGATAGTACTGAATAATCATTCCTGGCCTGCTATGAGTCAGTTTCAATACGATTATTTCATTGAAAGTTGATTATCACATCATCGCTAGGCTGTACTGAATGACTGCAATCATGGTGGAATACAACATCTTCCAACAACGTACGTTTCCTACTACTTTCGCTTCACGTTTTATCACCAATTTCTTCCTCGATACCAACCCCATCACCTGGCCAGACGACTCGCCTCCTTGTATCATGCCCTTCTAAGTACTTCCCTTCAAAATCTTTACCCTCAGGATCATCATCACCTAGCCTCTGCTCTTTCTCATCATTACCTGCGCCTCTCTGAGATATCAGTTGCTCTTTCATGAGTTTCAATCCATCCTCTCTTCGCTCCGTGGCTCCATTTCCATCTCCTCCTCTTCTTACTATCCCTCTATCCCCTCCTGGATCCTCCAGCACTCCTACCATCTTCACCTCCCCTCCATCATCCCCAACCTCCAGATTCCCCGCATCCTTCTCAATATTCTCCTTCAGCTCCAGCTCTTCCTCCTGTTTCTCCAGTTCATCCATCTCATGCTGGAGCTGTTCTTTCCGCTCCGCTATCTTCTTCAGGTCTCCTGCCTGGAGTCGCCCCTTCATGCTAACAGACATCTTGATGTGTTCAATGACGCTGAAGGGATCGATGTTCACATTGGATGCCTGGTGGGTGATAAAAAATTGATTTAAGGGTTTAGGTCTCTGAAAAAATGAGAACTTTAGCTATGATGCTATGATTAAAGCAATTATAAAAATACTTGTCTAATGATGAATTTCAATGATCAACTGATATGATGTCTGGATCTAATCTAAAGAGAAAATTGTGCGTGAATGAATCCGATGGTGCACAATGTGCGCCATCTCCACTCCCTGGGGGAGCATTCCTACCATATGGTCACTGTGAGGGCATAGGCAATTACTAACACAAATGCTTTTGTCATCCTACTGGGTCCCCATTGCTCTCCTGGGTATTGAGTGGCAAATGTAGATTAATGCCGGTGAATGAATCTGATGACCAGGTTAATAATATCTGTTAAGTGGTAAGAGACTGTACTCCATATTAAGCGCTATGTAAATCCAGATTATTATTATGGTTTGACGTGTTAAGATGGCTAAGTGGGTTATATTCAGTCTTTAGATTTAGAAGATAGTAATCCAAGACTTTTCATCTTTGAATGCCAAATGTGGAGTGCATTTACGTCAAGCAATGATCCTAAATTACATTGTTTTTGGAAAGGACTCAAACCTGCAGATTTTTAACTTCCTTATCAAAATGCATATCGATGTAAAATAAACAAACCAGGATGAACTTACAGCAAAAAGCTCCATCGCACTGATGTCATTCCTTGGATTAGTAGGAGGCCCTCTACTGATGATTCTTGCAACAGCTGGTATGTCCTCTGCTTTGGGAATACCATAAGGTTCCTGGAATAAAGAAAGTTGAGTTAAAAAGAAAAGTGAAAGAGGAAGTGAAAACAGCAATCACCGAGTTGAAGGACCGCAATGGCTCCTCGCTGCAAGCAATAAAGAAGTATATCGCTACCATGAAAGACAAAGGGGAAAAGATATAGAGAGAAATGTGAGAATGACGGCAAGGGAGTGAAAAAGAGAGAGAGCCAGAGTCGGAAATAGACAGAAAGACAAAGAGAGAAAGAGATAGAGAAAGCAAGAGAGTGCAAGAGATGAAAATTCAAGAGAAGTGAAGGATTGTGAGAGAGAGAGTCTGGTCAAAGTGACAAACAATGTGTTCATAATGCCCTCTATCACTTTCAGAAGACCTTTGAGAAATTACTTTTCATAAAAGGGTATCTAAAATGAAAACTTAATTCAACAGGTTTTTAAATCACAATGTACCTGGCCCTGAGAAAAGTAAGGACTGACGCCTGGAAAAAAATTAAAAGCATTTGCAACATATGAAAACTCAGAGTCAACTCATACACAGAAACCATCCACTTCATTAAATAATTACCATACGAATATGATGCAAATAAAAGCAATGAAAGATTGGTAATGAAGACAATGTAATGCCCCTACATTCACTCCCATCAAAATGATTTAACAATTTACTAGAGAAGGAGCTACTAATCTTACACACTTACCAGTTTGGGTAAGAAAATCGCAAGGCTCCATGCATATAAATGAAGATCATCAATGAATGCTCTTATTGTATAGTAAAGTAACCTGCACACAGAAGTATCAAAAGGCAAAACAGGGGGTAAGTTTATATTACACCCAGGTTCCCAGTCATGTACAAGATAACATCATTGTGCCTCTCCCAACTATCTCACCCCCCCCCCTCTCTCTCGCTCGCTCTCTCTCTCTCTTACCGTAAATTAAAATTTGTTCAAAAATGTTAACAAAATGTCAATGTGTTTTATACACGACTATTATTCTAACAAAAAATAATCAGCATATTAATAACAGGGACACAAATAATTTGTACCGTGTGGTATACTAACATATATTTCAGGGCTCATATTCATGAACCTTATCAAGTCTAGTTTTCCCCTAACTATATAAGTAGTAGTGCTGACAACTAGATTAGAAAGGTTTTATGAAAATTGGCTCTAAGTTTTTAGCATGTTGTTGTTGCTGTTTTAGTTTTATTGGTGGTATCATTCATTTTTGAATATTTACGCTGAATTCAAGTTAGATTTATTACAGTAAACTTTGATCCAAGTCTCTTACCTGATAAAATCTTTACCAGCCATCGGACTGATGATCATGACTTCATAGTCTTTCTTGGGTGTGAGGTAGGCCATAGCTGTAGCTTCCCCAAACTTTGTGGTCAGACCAAGAGCATTATGAACCTGTAGGGGTGAGGTGGGGGAGCATGATGATAACCATATTGTGAGGTTTGGCTTAGAGATATTGTCATGATCTTTCCAGTATATGCCTCAAAATGTCATTTTGATATTTTGAAACTATAATGTCAGGCTTAAAAACTGACAGCTACTTTGAAATAGTACAAAGCATAACAAATCTCTGAACGAATATCTGAAAACACTATTCTTCTCGTACCTACTTAATTTGAATACCATATACCAAGTATTAACAAAACATTTATATGGTGAATACCTTAAAACTGATTATAGTCTTCAACTGTCCTTAGGATTAATGATGTAATTGAATAGTGCACTGTGAAATTAATTGCAATTAAACACAGTGATCCATCTTACTAACAGTTATCTCATTTCAATATACACCTGTACAACAATATTATGTAGTCTATAAATTGAATCTTACAATAGATTCAAAGAGTTTCCCCAATGCATTTTCATGGCACATGTGCAGTTAATAATGTTGAATGATAGAAAATGGTGAATAAATGAACTTTACCTGAATGAGATCAGTGAAGTAGTTTTGTCCATTATTTTTCAGACTATACTCCAGTGCTGACAGTCTGATGTGCTCCATCAAACCTTAATGAAAGAAAAAAAATTAAAGATAAAAAGATAAAAAGGCCTAAAATGAACTAGTTTATACCCAGTGAAAAATCTACATTTACACAACAATACAGTCAACTTATCTGTGAAATCTTTCAATTTTTGCATGATGCAGTATAAACTACACCAGATACAATTTTTGCTACTGTATTTTCTATCTCCTCCCTCTTTCCTCCTTTTCTACAACTATAACACTTCTTGGCTATGAGTCCTAAATGATATGTTCTCCAACACTTGTTTAGGTATATAGTAATTCAAGTGAATTCAGTTACTAGTAGTTTTTTTTTTTAGTTCTAAAACAAGCTTAGTCTCAACTATAACATACTGGGTTCTAAAATGGTATCCCATAGGCCAGATGATTTTATCTGGAGTGCCAGATGATCAAGTAAGAAGACAAATACAAAAAGCAGTTGTTTCAGTTCCATTTTGATGCTTTACCTAATACATAGTGCACCACCATTGACTGTTGGCATAAATATAAGTCTCAAAAATATTTTCTCACTTGACAACAGACAGTAATAGGGGCTTTAAGTATACTTGAGAATTCTATCAAGTTGCCCATAAATTATCTATCTTGACACACCTTTTTGTGATCCCTGGATGAATGTTAAAGGTATAGACCAGTTCTGGATCATCACGTATTAGTCAAAACATATTCTTTTACATGACTGGTAATAAGAGCTTCCATTTCATTTTTTGAGAGGGGGGCATTTCCAAAACTGGTCTATACCTTTAAGAGTCCTTACCATAATGTCTCTCTGAGCTCACACTGGCCTGCGCATGAGGGTGGATCTGACTCGCGCTGGCTTTAGGCAGAGTATCCCACATGAGATGGGGGTAGACGTACTGCTTATCTGTTGAGTGCACCTTCAAGAACCTGCCATAATAAATAATAAAAAATAGTGAATATCTGTGTATGAAGACTGCTTAGGTGAGATAGAAAGTGGTCTTTATTTACGGTTTCCTATAGGACAGGTTCCAATGAGAAATACGGTCGCTACTGTGTTACTATAATAACATTAGTAATAGTTCTTGGATCCATATTTTAATTTATTGAGGATACAAATGGATTACATCATTAACCTGGTTTAAGGATGTTCCACAGTAATGTTCAGGCGCACTTAAGCTGGTCATGTATTCACCATGCACAATGCCAGGGGAGTGTTTCACAAAGATCCTACGTCGAACTTAACTCTAAGTTGGACTTTAAAATTATGGAGAGCCATTTGTAGCCTTAAAATAAAGAATATTCAAAAGCGAAAATTCAAGTATTTTAGACTTTTTATAGTTTCCACATCAAGAACATGAAATCTCCTTGATAACAGAAAATATGAAGGATTTGAATCAACATTTTATGCCCTTTAAAATAACTGTTACAAAATATTTTCATTGATGTTTACGGCTTTCCATAATTGTTAAGTCCAACTAAGGGTCTTTGTGAAACACCCCCCTGGAGTTCTTTGTATTGTGCACAGTAAATACATGATCATCTGGCCCTGTGCAGCTAGGGTGCGCACAAACATTACTGTGGAACGTCCTTAAATGGAGCTAGCAATTGAAGGCATTCAAAGATTCAAGTGATTTCTTCCTATTAGGTCCTTGTGATTGTCTAGTAGACACCACTCCAAAAGATGGCGAATGTCAATCAATGGCTTGGTAAAGATTTCAAATACCATGCTGGGATATTTGAATTCGAGAAGAAAGGCAAGTATCTTCTGGTCCCATGACTTTTGCCAAAAAGTTTAGGCAGTTCAAACTGCCATGTTTAAATAGCACTAAATGGTTGATAAATAAGACAAACTACATCACAATGCCACCCACAAGGGCAGGATAAATAGCAAATTTCAGTGAAAGGTTACAGATTTTAAAAAGTTCCTGTATTTTCAACAAAAGTGAAATCATAGTGGTGACCACTAACACAATAATGTAGAAAAATTAGAATTTTTCACGAATTGTAAAAATTAAGTGCTGTGTAAGATGAGATTAATTAATACCAAAACAAACTACTTGCAAATCTGCAAAAAAAAATTCAAGTATTCTAAAGCTTCAGGTTTAACACAAATTAGAATGGCCCCAAAAGTAAGTAAATGAGGAAGTCTGAAAGTAAGTGAATGAGGAAGTAAAACTAGATTGTATCACAAGTGCTTTAGATATATTAATGACAACTAATAAACCAATTGAATATCTCATAAACATAATCTTGTTTGCCATGAGATGGGGTAGTTTTACATAATTTACAGAGACAGCTTTCAAAAGAATACATTTCAGTATTGTATTCTTGCAAACTTGCTCAAAAAGCAATGTGCAGAAATTTTAAGCAATGACATTCATATCAATGGTCAGATCAAGATCAAGATCAGATCAGATCAAGATCCACATTAAGATCAAGATTAAGATCTGATCAGATCAAGGATTCATTTCTCAGACAAAAAAAATGATCTTAGGTGTATTCTTAGTTTAAAATATCTGACAGGGGCAACAACAAAAATCCCATTTTCAGGCATCTTTTTTCTTTTGGTATTATAAAGATTTCAAAGTGGGGGGGGGGGGGGGGGAGGGGAGGGATAAAGAATATATACTTAAAATATATCAGATATGATTTTGCCGGAGGAGAGGGGGGGGCACATGTTCCTTCTTGCACTGCACTCCCCTCCCCTCCCCTCTCCTACCTGAGCCACAACTACACGATTACCATTTCATGGCGACATCAAACATATCAAGGAACTGCTCCTCAGAGAACTTGAGAGGATGATGACTCTTGAGAATAATAAGAGCATGGTAGGCATCGTACTTGAAGGTATTCGATGCAGTTACAGCATGCTCTGATTCTATGCGACCAAATGTGTCTTCAGCTGTCTTACTGAGTAAATAAACAAAATATTATAACTTGTAGTATGGCCAAATGTTGACTTTTCATGTGTATCAAATTTGTTATATCTTGTACTCATTTCTATGCAAGCAATGTAAAGCAATTATTCTTTGAGCACAAGATTTAAGAAAACACTGCCCATCACTAAGGTGCACAAAGTAGGTTGATTAATACTAGGTCAACAGAAAATGTGTTTTATATTGACAATATTCTAATGTAGGTAACATCAGTTTTAAGGGCAGGTAACTCTGGCCAGTCCAGTGAGAGGGGCACCAAAACCTCAATACATAGTAGGATAGCAAAAAGGGCATGGCTACAGCTCTAGGCCTGTGAGTAGGGCTTGCATATAAAATCACAATTGGTCTAGAAAAAAACGTCACCTTAACACTTCTAATTCTTTGAGCTTACAATTTGAAATCACAGAAATCACAGTTCTGTGAGCTGCTAATGAGCTCTTCAATGTACTGGTCAATGTCTTCCCCAGGGTCGGTAGCTCCAGGTCTCTTGGCACGAAGAGGGTTGAAGATAGCACTCTCATGGGTGTATCGATTAAAGATAGATGTGATATGCTGCGGAAAGACAGAAAATTTGGAGTGGTGATGAAAACTACACATGGCTAGAACTATCATAGAAGGTGAACATTTTTGTTATAGTTTATCAGTCAGTATCCATGAATCAAATCTTCAGATACACTGCAAATCATTTTTCCTCACGAATACAAAAAATTCTATCACAAAACTTATTCCTCGACCCTAATCAACCAAAACCACTTCAATCAAAGAAAGATAAATAAATGCCATTGTATCTAAGATTATTTTTTTATGTGTTTTGGGCTTATATTTTTAAAGGACCACAATTGTGGAATAATATACCTCATGATATAAAATCCAGTCTATCGATTAACGTTTTTAAAAGGAGATATGGAGATATAAATCATTTCTAATCCAACTATATAAATAAAGATTGATTCTGTACACGGTCAGACTTTTGTTTTGTTTTTTGTTTTTTCCCCTCTAGTTTAAAGCATTAGTTTTTTAAATCACCTTTTTAAACAACAATATTATACTGTAATACTATTTTGGTTGCAGCACCAATAAAGCCTTTGGCTTTCCTAGCTGTCTCCACATTCATATGACATTTTTGTTGCTGTTGTATTCTATTGTAAATGTTTCTCTTTAATTTGTATGCTATATTTTGTATTTTATATGTTGTTATGATGAATGAAATAAAGATCAATTCAATTCAATTCAAATACAATGCTAAGACTTGTCAGACAAAGTCCTGGGGGCATTTAACAAAGATCCTAAGTTGGACCTAACAATTATGGAAAGCCGTTAGCATCCTTAAAAACATTTTGTAAAAGTTATTTTAAAAGGCATAAAATGTTGATTCAAATCATTCATATTTTCTAATATCAAGGAGATTTCATGTTCTTGATGTGGAATTTATGAAAAGTCTAAAATAGTTGAATTTTCGCTTTTGAATATATTTTTTTAAGGCTACAAATGGCTCTCCATAATTTTTAAGTTCAACTTAAAGTTAAGTCTGACTTAGGATCTTTGTGAAACAACCCCCAGGTCTACAACTGTCAAACCAACCTGCAGCTTCACTTCCTTCAAGAGCTCCTCATCATTACCCAACCACTTCAAGACCTTGGTCTGGAATGTCTCAGGAATTACTACATGACCCGTCCTCCTGCTAATGCTGTAAATGGTGGTGAATTTCTGGAAGACCTTTCTGAATACAGGACAGGAATGAACAAGAGAGAATGTATGCGTTAAAAAATCAACAAAGATTTAAACAAAATATTAATATCTGGTTATAGTTGCATAACCTGTCTAGCACCATATAAACCCCTAAGAAAACACCTTATAATTCCATGACTGCAAAATTATAACAAATATAGAATCATTTTAAAGAGGAATAAACATAGAGAGATATAATCGATCGAACTTGAGTTTCCAAACTTTTTAATGTAGAATTCTTAGAATAATAAATCGTCTGTTCTCAAATATATTTTACTTGAGAAGGTTACTGGAAAAAATTAGAATGGGACAATCTTATGTGCCAAGGCAGCATACATCCTTGACAGGAATTTGTTAACCCTTGGTCTAAACCGAGAAAAGACAAAATAGCCTTGCGGCATCTAAGGGGGTGGTTTGGAATGGCCTAACAAAAATGCTTGTTGACATATTATAATCACCCTTATCAGTACCCTTGTCAAGGAGAATTGACCGGTAGTAATCTTTTCTAGCATATTACCCCCCCCCCTACTTTTGGTTTTAGAGCCAATAGTTATGCACTGGTGAGAACCCTGATGCCCTTACAATTTTGTACATTAAGTCCTCCTTCTTTTCTTTTTAAAGTAAATTATGTCCATAGCTCATTAAAGCAGAATTTATATCACAACATATCTGACAAAGTAATAAATCTAGAGCCTAGAGGAAGGAATTGAGGAAAGAGGAACATATCTTACAAACAATCAGGATGCAGAGCAATTTGCCATCTCCCGATGGTATCCTCTAAAGTTGAAATGCTGAGTTTCTCATCAATCTTTCCAAAGCATTGCTGTTCATACCATTCCTGAAAAACGAACAAGAGTACACATGTCATTAGTATTTGTCAGATAAAAAGGAATTATCCATGTCACTTTAACTTCATGTATTACAAGCAACTAACAAAGAGCTGCAAAGATTCCGATTCCTGAAAATTTAGGGTTCCTCAATCATAAAATATTTCTGTCTAACCAAATTGAAAAATTCGTTTTCAATCCTCTGAGACTGAGTCTGATCATGTTCTCCTGTCAAAACATAGATCTAGGTCTATAATCAGAGGACAATCATTATTTGGTACTGATTATTTTGCATACAGGCATTTACTTTCTATAGTTTTCATTGATGAGATGGAGGAAAAAATGATTAGGTGAAAGATGCACACTATTCCAGTTTGCTACGCCTCGCCGCACAGAACAGACGATGCTAGGGCATAATACATGCGCCCACTAGTTGAGAATTGTGTGTGTTTCTTACCGCCTCTTGTGGCAAACTGAGAGAAAATCTCAAATGATGAGCTGTTTGGCGAGGAAGAGTGTCATAAGAGAAGGTAAGAAGCAAGAGCCGAATCCAACCATAGCATGTGGCAAGTAATAAAGCCACTCCAATTACACAGAATCTCTTATTCATTCGTGATCCAGCCATTTTGCTATTTACAAAAAATACATGAGCGCACCGTGAAAGCACAGCGAGCGCGAAAATTGTGTACAGTACCGGTACAGCGATATATGATCGACCTACACGTCTAGTCTCGGAGCGGCCTAGGCCAGGCGCCTAGCAATAGCGCAAACAGCTCCCTTCAAGCCTTCCATCCAGGCCAGCTCAAAACACAGGTCGACCACGCCCACTTTCTACTCAAATGGTCTAAAGCCTCTATAAACAATATCTTAGAGATAACATCAAAGGTAGGTTTATGACCTTAGTCAATGAAGCACCAAACGAAACAAAAATAGCGGGAATATAATACTAAGAAATAGAATACTGGTATGACAGAACATCAGAATTGACCATTATATGAAGAAAATTAGACTAAAATAAAATGTAATATAGGAAGTCATAAAAACAGAAGTGTATACCATTTTAAATAAATCACGCAAACAGGTAGTCCTTTTCAGCAGGTCTTAATGTTTTAGAATCTACCGACACAGAAACCATGAATAAATAAAAAACTAGACTATAGTGAAACAAATGAAATAAAAGATAGTGAAGAGTGCTAACAATTCACGACGTACAAACATTCCCGATGATCTTACAGAATTGGTTAATTTATACACTGATACTCTCAGTTCAATTTTGCACAAACATGCACCTTTGTTAACTAAGACTGTAACTTCTCATCCACATGCACAGTGATTAACATATGATGTTAGAACAGAACATAATGAAAAAGAAGGAAAGTTGAAAACAGATGGTTGAGAACAAGATCTCCTCTTCATCACGAAAATTAAAGCTGCTTGTAAAAAGACAGTATTGTTTGTTTTTAATAATGCCCGTCGCATATATTAATCTGAACTTATAAAGGAAAATCGTTCTGATCAAAGGAAACGTTTTAATGTTACTAAATCTTTGTTGAATATGTCCAAGATTCATCATGTTATACCTCGATCCTCGCGTTGATAAGAGAAAATTTGTTATGATCTAGGCATTTTTGTTCTGTGTCCTGTGATAAGATTGTAAGAATTCATTTTTAAATTAAGTCAGCTGTAGATGATGGAGCTTCTTATCCTGATTATGATTTTGTTTTGATATTGTAGATTTTCATATTTCACAATCTCAAATTTTCACCCATTTCAAAACATTATCTGAAAAAGATAATATTAGTTGTAAACCTTATAGCAAAAAATCACGCTCTTTGGATCCAATGCTGACAAAGCTTTTATTGCATTGTATTTTGTTCTGAATCACTGCTAACTGTCTTTACGAAAATCATGAAATTGTCTCTCTCTAAATGACCTTTTTTCCATCTGATTGGAAAGTGACTTTAGTTGGGCCTGGTGTGGAGTTGAGTTTCAACAAACAGTTAGTAATTTACAGTAAATATCCAAATTAGATGAAGGAGCTGCTATGCAAGAGCAGCTCTGTCATAATTCATTGTTCCCAGTCAGCATACGGGCAGTTTCAAAGCACAGAAACAGCGCTGGTCTGAATAAATAATGATCTCCTAGATTCTTGTTTACCATGAAGAAGCACATAATTTATCCAACACTTGAAAAACTACCTTTTATATGATATAAAATCTCCGTCACATTCGTAGACATTATAAGACCGGAAAAAATGAAATCATGGACCATGCATCTATTAGCAGTAGGTCCGATTGTTATAATAGATTATTGTTTGGCTTGCTAGATTCACAAAAATTAATAATCAAGTTGCAGCCTGTTCAGAAAGCATGTCCAAGGCTTGTGTCCGATATATAAAAATGTCCCCATATTACACCTGTTAATAAATTACATTGGTTGCCAATAAGACATAGCACTTCATTGAAGATACTTGTGCTTGTTTACAAAGCATTGAATGGTAAAGGCCCAAAGTATTTGTTTGAATTATTATCTTTTAAAATCACATCATCGACAGATTGGAAATGTTCACGATTCAAGGTGCTTGTATTAGCTTTGAAACTAGGTTGTAATACGATTGCAATAATGGTACCACTGTGCAATGGGAGGTTGGTCGCAAAATCATTGCCTCTCCAGCTAGACTAAAGTACATCCGACTTATGACAGGGAGAAGTAAAACTAAGACACACAAAGATGGACGACACACCCTCCCCCCCCCCCCCCACCACCACCACACATACACACACACAAACAGTTCCCAATGCAATTGTTATTGTCCCGAACACCATAATCCTAAATACTCCACTGGCAAGAACATAAACCTTATCACGATCCTCTTCTGACTTATCAGAAATTCACTTTCCACAATCTCATGAAGAATAAAGAAAGCTTAACACATTCTCAGTTCTTTTCATGTTTGTTTTTTAATACTTTTTTGCATCAGACAGCATTTCAACATGTAACAACACCGAAATTCTTTTCACTCCTCGTCAGAAATCTCATAAATAACATCTCAACAAAAATAAACGACATTCAAAATGATGCAACGGAAGAAAAAGGAAGCGTTCAAACAAAAAACAAAGAGGATGAAGGGAAGCAGTATAATGATCAGAAATGTGATACCTTCTTGACCTTTTCCAAAAGGTATCAGCACTGATATGAAGAGTAGCAAGATAAACAAAAAACAATACCACTCCCCGTAGACAGAAAAGCAAATTTAAGGTATTATAGCTAAGAAGATCGAAATTCATGGCTACATTTATAAATACTTTCTCTATTGATGTTTTTGCTGACATAACACAAGTCTGACAGGGGAAACCTGTCCCATTGGTGTTCTGGAGATTGTGTATCTATATTAATTTTCACCATTGTGAGAAAAGGAACTAAAGCAATCGAACAAATATCTCTCTGAAATGAAAGGCGCAACATTTATCACTGATCACTCAGTAATTTCTTAGCTTTTTTGTACCTCCTTTGGCAAACATAGCAAATAACCATAACTTATATAGCTTTGTACTACATGTACTTCTTAGAATTATTAATGAAATTTAAGAGATTGTATATAATCACCACAACTTTTCATATTCATGTGAAATGCTCCTTTTTATAGAATTATTGATTTACTGTTGGGTTTAGTAATTATAGACTTCAGATACTCTTAAATACACTGGAGATAAATTAAACCCCATTTCAGAAATGGAAAGGGGGACATTGACAGATCAGAATTGATTCAAGTGAGAAGGCAAGATGACACATTTTAAAAACAAGATTAGATTCATCGAGATTTGATTTTCACTAGATAATCATCCTTCTTTGTTGCTACATTTACATCATCAAAAGCACATATTAAACTCAGAATAGTACTTGTTTTCTTGCTGTTTGCATCTTTATAATTTCTATGAAAGGATTTTCTTTTTTGCTCCTCTATTCTTTACTTCACATTCACATGGTAGATTTACCACAGTATATTTCACATACTGACATTTGTATCACATTTCTTACAAAGAATGAATCTGTCCTGGCATTGTGTCTTTAATGATGCTTCATTTACACTTGTGGAAGTATGATGTTATGGTTTCATGATTATCTTTGGTATTAATGATATACATTGCATGTTAATTATGCAATACAATTACTGCTTGCCTTTTAATTTTACATCCAAAACTTCAAATTTCCTGTCTACAGAGGGCCAGAATTGTGTTAACTCTTTGCACAATATATGAGTTTAACACCCTTCTGGCTCTTCACATGAGCTATGGTTGATGGTTGTGTGCCTGGCATAAGGCTCAAAAAAACTTTGGTCATTCTACTCTTATACTTCTTTAAAGAAAAAAGTAACAAAATAGAATAGAGAAGTCCATAACCTCTCACTGTTAACTATCGTCATGCAGATGCAGTATAAGAATAGTCCAACCTGTAAAATGCATATTTCTTGCCTGTTTCTGCAACCACTAGCCAAGAATCCATCAATGCCCCTTTTGCCCGAGCACATACCAATAATTCTGACTCAACCATGGCAAGCTATTTCAACTGGAAGTATGAAATTGTGGAAGGCTCAACTTACACATCTTCAAAGATTATGTTACACTTGCTAATTCTTAAACTTAACAAATAATTTTACTGTCTGTAAAACAGGAGCAGTGTGCATCTGGTAGACTCTTTGCATGTGCAAGTAACAGCCACATTCCCACATCACATTCATTAATTAACATATCTAAACATATCGTGGAAGTCATCATTCACCTATACATGATATCAATCTGAATCATCTTGTTCACATAATGTCTCAATTTTTTAGAGTTAGACAGCATTATGAAACCTGACAGCTTTGGTTAACTAAGATTGTAACACCATTGTCCGTTTTCGTTTGCCTGCCCAGGCAGAGTATACACTTATAAAACTGCTGTGCACTTGAGGTGATCCAACAAGATAATTGAATATTTAGGGTCACTTATAACGTGTCAACATGACACATAACATAAATTGCAGGTGCATTACGCATTTGAAGTGCATTATTATGATTACCAAGTGTCAATACTGAAGTGCAAACAAATGGAACTGTTATTTCTAAATTTCTGTCGTCTTTAAACGTTTACATTTCTTTACTTGGTGAAGAGACAGATATGAAACGGCAAAGTGATTATGCCACCAACATCAAATTGACAGCCAACTGTCCTTGTTTTAAAATGGTGACTTTCAACTGAAATGTTCAAATTGTTACAAGTGCACTGTGATCAAAACGGAAAGTAAAAAAGCTGAGTATCATATAAGAGAATTCAACAAGAACACTGTCCACAATGGCAAGAAGTGTTGGAAATTTTTGCAACATGAATATCTGATATTTTGACTAGTCCTTGAGTGTGTGTCTCATTACATCCATCTTGTGAACAAAGAAGAAATGAAAAGCTACAGGGCTATAATTGAACGTAAACATCCACTTTGTTGCAATGTACCGACTTCTCACTTTCTCATCATTTTGAATGTAAATAAATAATAGTAATGACAGACTCTGGGACTGACAAAAGATGGGTGGGATGAAAAGGGAAAATGATAATAAGTACTGTTATACCCTGTCCTGCAGTGTTATGAATTTAAAATAACATATAAAGAAATAGTTTCTCTCTCTCAACGAAGAGCTTCTTGTACATTTCAGTTATGGTAATAAATGTGGTTGGGACTGAATATGACTCACATACAAACATCTAAATGGGCAATCTCTCATCTAAAAATATGGTGATGAAGATTTCATTCATGTTCATTGAAATAATATCCCTGCCTAAGAAGATTGTTTTTTTTTTTTTTTTTTATCTCACTCTCTTCCAATGATTTGATTAGAAAAACATCTGATCTGTCTCCATTTTGTGGTTAGAGGGGAACTTGATCCTATTGTAGTCCTTTTAAAGTTTATTAGTAATATGAAGCCCATGAGTGCACATATCTGATGAATATCTGCTACATCCAAACTTGTCTATAAATTAAATCATTACATTGGCAGGAGGGTTAATCTCTCGTACTAATGTTTTCTCAGCAACGCTTCCATGATGGGAGTATTGCTAACTAGCAGGAAATCAGCAAAGAGTGAAAAGTTTGGGCATTAAAAATTCATCCCAGCTATTAAGCTAAAAAATTGATTGTGTAAGGCGTTTCCTAAAGAATGTTATGACGCAAATGCAACTATCGATTTTAAACTTTATTTATCTACACTTATGATGATCAATATGCGACTTGCCAACTCAAAACCACCACCAGGTTAAACAAAAATAAAGACAAGGGAGCAAATGGGAAAGTAAATATGTGATTTTCTGTTGAGATAATTTTCTGCTTGTCTGCATAAATAAGTAGTTTGTTGGTCATTTCATCATTTTTGTCATATCAAAATTTAAATTTCAGCAGTAAATCTTAAGAATATACATTGTATAATCAATCAACCTATAGCTTTTTTTTCATTAGTAGTGAATGTAGTAAAACTAAAAGTTGCTATCAAAGTAATGCAACCTGATAGATACCTTCAATTGGTTTTTATGTCAACTGTTTAATGACATATTTGACATAATTTATACTCAAGAGATCAGCCAGGTCTACTAATTTTCTCTGAAATTTTCACTGAATAAATTTAATAATTGCTGTTAACAAATCACACAATATAAGTGGACAATAATTCAAACAATGCAAAACATAGATAAAGATATTCTAGAGGACAAACAAAAATTGTTTTCAATGACTTGTTGATGGTTTTGAGCAGGCTAGGGTCACATATTTCCTGGCAATGGAAATTTATAAAAAATTATAAGCCCAATCTGATGAAGTTGAAAGGTGATGATCCAGTTTTTGTTTACAAAAGCCATGATGTTTGGAATAATACTTATTGGTTACAGACAAAAAAGCGAGGGCAATTTCTTGAATCTTACAAGGAGTGAAAAGAATTTTTATGTTCACTTTCTAACAACCATTTGCCCACTTTTCATATGCTATTTTCAAACAACAAGCAATACATTAAATAAGCCACAAGTTTAATGTCTGAATGCACAGTGCAGATAAGAATTCTGCAAAAATGTTTAGCCTACTCCTTTTACAATTTCCATTCTCTTCTTTCATAGAGCAGGTAAGTTACTGGCTCTCTCAGCGTTAGGAGAAATCAGCCACAAGGTTCAATACATTTCACAGACACAGAAAAACAGAAAGAAAAAAAGAATAGCAGAACTGGAAACAGCCATGTCCAACCATTTGAACATGAACACAACATCATATGACGTGAACAGAAAAGGAAACACAAACACTGATAGCACAGCTCATACGGTCCAACCATCGCGTACCACCTGTAAAAAGCGGTGGATTTGAAGCGATTTGTGTTGGTAAGAGAAACAAAGCTGGTCGAGTGTGTAGATGGTGACATCTTAAGACTCTCCCAAGCTAGATGATGATGATGATGATGATGGTGGTCTTTACAGACGCGTTAGCTGCTGTAAGAGGCTTGCTGGGATGATGCCCTCAAGTCTCTCCATCATAAAGCTGAACGGTGCCGACAGTGACGAGAGGAACTAGGAAGATGTTGAAAGGAAGGCAAAATATTAGAATGAAATATTAACAAATTTTGTGAAGGCTTAAGATGTACTACAGTCTCACGCCGCAAAGAATTGAATTACAGCTAACACAACACTAAATTTTGCAAACTGCCAAAGTTTCTTGCTATGAAAATTGCTATTGTAGTGGTGGTTATTTTACCTGACTGCTAAGAAAGCATAAATGCTTGTTATTAAGCAACCAGAGGACTGACGGCTTAAGGTCCTCTCCGAGGGACCTGGTAATGAGGATTAATGCCTTACCAAAGGGCACTAGCCCATCTCCTTGGTTTCGAACCCAGGTCACCTGATTACGAGACCATTGCTCTACCGACTGAGCTATTGCGCTTCCTCTTCTGTTTATCATCAACAAAACTTTTTTACTTCTACAATTCTAAAACAACGTTTGGATGGACAGGTTTTAGCGGAAGTTGATGAGAGAAAGGTGAATAATACAAAAAAATGCAAGAAATTTGATGATAATCTTTTTAAAAGCCTAAGATCACAATAATAAATGCAGATAAATAATATGCTTTCTTTTTATCACAATCTACATCAGGAATGACATATATCAATAAAAATGTAGAGCAACCTTTAAAGACGTTTTCTTGCAGGAATCACAATAGCAATACAGATATCATCAATAAGAATGAAAACCATAGCAGAACAAGGGAGGTTAACTGCACATACTCCCTTATGCATCATTAAAATCCTATAGAAATGTAGTTTCTCTATGGTGTTCAAAATGTTTGGTAGAAAACATTAGTTGTCACTTTTCTACAAGTAAATCTAAGAGAAACAGAGAGAGAGAGAGAGAGAGAGAGCACTTATCCAATAGAAAAGTTTGGTAGAACTCACTGCTTTAGCGATAGCACCCATGGGTTCGGGGAACTGATGCGTGAGGAGTGCCAAAGAGGCGGTGAAAGTACACAGCCCTGCTGTGAAGAGGATGAAGAAAGGTAGCTCCTTCTTGGGATATACAGATACCTCGTGAAAAGCTGCTGTAATGCAAACAAAGAAATTCACATCAAGACATGAAGTATGAGTAACAATAATTGACATTTCTATAGTGCCCTTATCTGCCATGCACACATTTCACCGTGCTTAAAATGCTCCAATATTAGTGCTCACAGCATTCAAGAGATGCCTTCCTACTAGATACCAAGTTAACATCTTGGCATATAGTGGGAAATGTAGATTAATATTTTCTTGCTTAAAGAAAGTTATGAGGTGCCAAGATTTGAGCCCACAACCTCCACATCTCCAGTCAAGTGTTTCAACCGTTTTACTATGACACTTCAAAGTACTAACATCGTTTAAAAACATCAATGACATTACACCTAAATCTGCATCTTCAATTACATGTTGTTTATTACTTAAGGAGAATTAAAGAACATTTCATGCATCAGGAATGGTACGACTCATACATTCAAGAATTAGTGACAACCATATTTCCTGGAATAATAGGTGGAATATGATATGTTCGAAGTTAAACCTGACTGCTTTATTCAATTTTTATGACTTCAGATCTTATTCATACAGTCGACTGCAAATAGTTTTCACTTTGATTTTTGGGGAAATAAATGGCAAATTCATTACCAGAACAGACTCTTAGGAGGGAAAATATCAAGGGAAAAAATAATACAATATAAATACTTAACCCTCTGGGACTAAAATGTAAAAATGCAGACATTTTTTTTAAACACGATGATAAACAAATTAGGAAATTATGAGCCTTTGAAACTGAGTACTCTCGACTTACAAGGCAATAACTCCCTATCCACTGTCTCTGTACAGCTGGGGTAGGGGTAGAAAAGGTGTCCCTTCTCCAGCGGGTAGGGGATCATTCGAAATGTTCCCTCCCACGTACAGTGAAGAAGTTGGAGTGCCCCTTCCACCCTCTTCCAGTGTGCGATGTGTAAGAAGCTATATGCGATAGCCTCACTGTCCCCTCGCTTCAAGATGTGCTCTGGTGGCAAGATCAGGCTTTTCATTTCCAATAAGTACTGCAAGATGAGGGGGGAATAGAATAATAAATAATAATATTCAGCTTTTATATAGTGCTTAATACAATGACTCTAAGCCCTTTACAGATATACTGTTACCCCTGTGATTGGATTCAGTGCTTGCCCACACACTGTGTGCACAATTACTTGACGCTCAAAAGCTGTTTGACCAACAACGGCGGTCCCATCCTACCGGGTGCCCATTAAGTTGGAAAATATTCTTCCTGCATTTTTTTCTTTGGTCCCATTTACATCCGATGCCAGAGTTGCAAGTTAAATACAAGTAATTCAAATAACACTGCGTAAAGCTAAGACAATGTGACCCTCATTTGCTACCCCATTCATAGTTACATCTCAGGTGTGGCACTAGATATAGAACGTAGACTCTCTTAGGTATGCAAGGGCATTAGGCCTCAAATACCATCACAGGGCCTTATGCAGGTGCTCACTTGTAAGCTGACATTCCTAATCAATGGAATGAATCATACTTTGTAACTCCAAAACAAAAACACATTCTTTGTCTATAATGTTGCAAAAAAGTTTGGATATTGGTTGAAAAAATGTCAGTTCATAATTTACATCATAAGTCAAACTGATGTAAATAGAATTCACTACATTATTTGACTAACCTTTGGTACATGAGGATTGAACTCAACAGCTCGATGAATGGCCTCCACTGCATTCATTTCAGCGGTTGAGAGCCCCCGCTTAGACGCCATCTCAGGCGAAAACCTGAACGATGAAAGAGAAATTTGGGAGCTGCTATGGATGTTGGAGTTTCTATACATACAAAGCAAAACAAAACAGAGAATAATGTGTCAGTTTGTGCTTTGCTGTCTATACTGTCAGATTTTCAGGAACCATTAAAGACAATGTTTGGAACAACAGCGGAATACCCCACCACACTTGTAACCCCATTCTAACTTTGACCCCAGGACCTGACAGTGACCCTAACCCTAATACTTTGTACTGAACTACTGATGCATGGTAGGGTATTCTACAGTTTAACCTAAAGTCAATATCAAACATATTTTTTTTAATAAGCAATCTTAATTAATTCTTACAAAATTAAGATATTTGAAGCACTCTATATTCCAAGGAGTAGAGTTGGAGATATGTAAGCATTACAGATATAGCACTACATAAAGGGTAAGGAATGGACAAAGCTACAGTCACTATGATGATTTAATTCTTAAAGGCCTACTGCACTACTGGTAGCTACTTGCGCCCTCTATATAACAAACAATGCCTAATCGGTGACCATTGGTTCCCCATGATCCTCTTTTTCTTATGTTAACTGAGAGCTGAGTTGATGAGATAACCACCTGTCCAGTGACCTTGCAGAGCGGTCTAATCCCTCCTGTAAACTACGGCAGATAAGCTTTAAAGGCACACTGCCATACTTGTAGCTACTTGCTCCCTCTATATAGAAAACTTCCCCAATCGGTGCCTGTTGGTCCCCCATGATCCTCTTTTTCTTATGTTAAATGAGAGCTGAGTTAATGAGATAGCCACCTGTCACAGTGACCTCGATGGCTCGCTGTGTGGTCTAATCCCTTCTTGCCCAGTAGTGGTGACGGTCTTTAAATGATTCCTGTCACACTGATCTTCTTGTCTCCCATTTTTGTGATTCTAAAATACATGGATCCTTATCAGTGATTCAGAAACAGAGAAATAATTGTAGCCCAATGATGTTTACAAGTGCGTATGTTCACCAATATTTCTTGTGGATTGAAACATATTATTCCAATAAAAATACAATTTCTGTGGAAGGGGTAGATATCTGAGATGTGCATTGAGTTATAATGGCTCACTCACACACGAGGTGGTAAACCACTTTTTTTTTTAAAATCCACTGTAGCAAAATCATAGGAGATAAAAAATAAAGATCTTTGCATTTTCATATTTTAGGAGTTAGAGTAGGGGCCATCGCCCACAGCTACGATTTATCACCTTCTAAAAACTTGTATTTATGCCATCATTTAAACATGACGTTTGCCTGTGCTGTATTTCAGGTGGTTTACTACATTGTGTCTGAAAGGGGTTTTGAGGAGCTACTTACTTGTCACACACTGTCCTGGCTTTCAGGAGTGCCGCTGTGTAACAGATGGTGGCAGACTTGGGTAGACTGATATCGTCATACTTGGCAAGTAGAGCCTGGACATCTGCATAGAGCTGCATCTCCAGAAGAGCCTCGATGAGATTCTCATGGATCTGAAACATGCTCACTACTGGAAACTCTTTGATCAGCTGAAAGGAGCACACAGGACAGACAGAACAAATTAAAAAAATGCTGTGTTATATAATGTCATATAAATTGAATATGACTAGGATTTTCTCAGCAAAAAACTTCCTTGAACTGCAAAAATTTGGTGATATGTCAGCTGCGATCAATTACTTTATTAACAGTATGATACTTTCCAAACCTGAACCACTAATGACATTTGCGAACTTTCATGTAGGCAAAAGTTTGTGGCTTAACAGTTTTACAAAATGTTAATCTACTGGTTGCACAGAATAAACAATTCTGTAAAATATCTAAATAATGTTGTGAAAGGAGTTTAATTGTTCATTGAATAAATAAAATATGATAACTCAGATTTCATATTCTCCATTTAATATGTACTCTATATGGAGCATTACCAACTAATTTATGAATATTATTCCCTTGTTGCAATCTCAGGTTACTATGTCAATGATATTGTATTTGTACTTAAGTGACATAAGCTCTCATATGACATCAGTATATCATTGGACATATGATGCCCAACATACTCTGCAATATCAACAATTTTAACAGTCAATTTCCTGCTAAACATTTTTCATATGTATTTCCTCTTCACCAGAGTCCCCAGTAGTGGATTTGTTTGTAATAAATCATCTACCACAATAAGGAATTTTTTACCATGTGAATATCAATCTCAGTTCTTTAAACATCTATAGGAGTATGCCAGACCTTGCAAAATCAATGATGTATGTTTAAGATTTTAATATTAGAGCATTCCTGGGTTTTGCAGTAGTACATTGTACTTTCATACGCCTCAGATTCAATGAGGTGGCAAAACCTGAAACCATAGTTTATTTTTGTCTTGCTTATAAATGCATACTTCCTCGTTGAAATGATTGATGTCACCTAATTACTTCATGTAATGAACATCTTTAAAGGGTGATTCTGCAATTGCTCGTATTTCCACTCAACGCCTACTTCATGTGGGATTTTGCTAAATATAATTGAATCCCTCATAATCTTACAATTATTGGAGTAATGTTCATTCTATTGATTTGAAACTTCAGATTCCCATGCTACATGATTTAAGTGTTATTTCATACATGGAGCTTGATGGGTTTCATGCATAATAATCCTGACTTACATCACGCATCATTTTCACCGCTTCCTTTGTTCTGCCTAGTTTCCTCATGCACATGGCAATTCGCCGCTTGATATACACCAGTACATTCAGATCTCTTCCTGTTTCCACAAAGAAAAACAAAGAAAACACTAGCATAACAATCATGTCTTAACATGCCCTACTCGCTTCATGACATTATTACAACAGCAGGGTGACAACGGGAAAATACTGAAGACAATCTTCAACTCTCCTTCAAACTCCTAACACATTTTTTCTTTAAAATTAGCATATGAAATGAAATATCATCAGATGATTTAAGGCTAGACACAATTTGCAGTATTGATGACAGATAGGGTTGAAAGAAGGTGATTATGAACCAATCATTACAGCAGGGACGCAAGCTTATCAATCACCTTTTAAGTTAGTTTCAGTTTTGATCAATTTAGAAGGCATTTTTAATACCACAGTACAAGACATAAATGAACAACAATAAATTGCACCAATATGAAAATGAGAGTACCACAATTTGACACACAAATGTGTACCAGTATCTTATAGTTACTTTTTTCTCAGTTTTGTCATTTAAGGATATAGAAATTAACCTGTCACAATTTATATTCAAGACAAAAATATGGACTGAAACATAGTTTGTATCTGTAGTTAAACGGCATAACTTTGAAAGTGCATACTTCTAGAAACGAACATACCCTGGCCATACATCCATTATTGTTACTTGTTACTTGTAGAGATAATCCCGATGGCAGCTATCATACAGCTAAACTGGGACCAGGTACCCTTTTGCCCGTCACCCTGACATAAACACAATAACATCCTATGTATATGACTTACTGTGTATTTTCTCATGAGGGGGACTGTGGTGCTGCAAGGCCTGACTTCTCTTGAAGTTGGCCTCAGCAATTTTGAGAGCTTGCCGAAACTTTTTCTCAGCATCAACGATGGTTGTTGCTTCTTCTTCGGCTAATAAAACCAATGCTGTTGCACAACTGTATAATGGAATATAGACATTTGTGTTTAATGATGAACAATACATCTTCAAGTACCATCAATATATTAAAAATATCTGCCACAAATGTAAATGTCTGACCATTTTAACAAGATAACAAATTATAGGAACTGACTACTTGCACCAGACATTTCAGTTTCCTGTTCTATTTGCAGGGCATCAGTATTTCTCACACATGAAAGAAAACAATCTAGATTTGAAGAAATCACATTCTTCTCAAATCTAAACAAGGAGTACTTAAGATAAGTACTGCTTCCAGCTCTGTACTACATACATCATTGACAACTATCAGTTCAATTTACTCTGCTATACCAATTGATTTGATTCATCTTAAAGAAGTAATCTAGTATTCTTAAAATGACAAATAGTTACACATAAGATTTTTCAGCTTTTGAAAGTAAGGTTTAAATAACAAAATACAAAACTAACAAGAACTCAAACAGGCAAGTATTCAACCAGACATTTACTAAAATGCAGATAATGCAAAACATTCAAAAATATACTTAGAAAGCTTTAAAAGTGGCAGAAATAATGATTTAACACTTTGAGATAACATGAGCTACATTTACTACCTAATATGTGATACCTTGGGAAAACATTATTAACATTATCTCCTATCATAACAAATCAACTGTAAGTCTTTCAGTGGGTTACGGCAGTTATGTCATTAAATCTTCATTTGACTTTGATTATGAGGAATACATGTACCAAACTTACTCTCCAGATTTCTCTAAGGCTTCGTGTGCTGCTTTGATACGGTTCTGAGGATTTCTCTCTCGCCATGCTTTCATCATAACTGAAATAAAATCATAACAGATACACCATGCACTATGTATTTCTTGCTATCAAAAATCCAGAATAAAGCATTTTACTAATTCAATTTGCTACCTAATAATTTTACTGCTATTTTAGATAAACAATTAGGAAGAATGTATAACTTCTTTAGACTATTGTGCATAATAAAGAGGAATGTCATAATATACTTAGTAATGGGTTGAAATATATATAATCTTTATAATCCTACCAATCTGAAGTCGTTCTCCAATCACAAAAATTATTTGGTTTAAAAGAATTGTTATTATTATTGGTAATTAAGTATGAAAAAATTAGGTAGTCATCTTTAACTTCAGAATGATATATCATCATGAGTGTTATCTCACCTTCATCCTGGTGTCTGGTAGGATCCGAATCACAGGTGAATAAAGTTTGGTGATCTTGCGCGGATTGGTTCATGTCATAGTACGTCAATGGATCTTTCCCTGTCACCCAGTTGTATCGATTATACTCTGCTCCTCGTATAAGGTTCAGTGGATTCCGCCACGTTTTACACTCTGTTCAATGAAAAATCATAGAGATAGAGAATCATTTCAAAGTGTGCACTCTTCAGTCTGTGGTATCACTTAGTCATTAATGCATTAGTGTTTTACAAAGAAATATGTGCATTACTGAGACACACTCTACAGTTCGTGCCTGCTAATCATCAAGTTCTTTTAGAGTATTTTAAAATGCAAAGTATCAATTATGCACCTTTAAAAAAAAGATTAACATAACCTGAACTACTGGTATACAAAAGTTTTGAAAATATACGGTAAATAAAAACAACAGTAATACTGTACCCATTAAGACTTTTAAAAAACAGTTTTGTTTCTCTGTCTTCTAAAATAAGCTTCCTGGTTTGTCTAAAAATATCAGTACTATTACTTTTATTCGATTTTCAAATTTGATAATGAGGAACAGTAACTTGAATCACGTAAGATCATACTTATTTTCAGCTACCTATAACTTTCACTTAGAACTAAAAGAAGATTATATGTCATCATTTCTCACATTACACTTTAATCAAACTATACCAAACTAACAAGTGGCATTGATATCTATCCAAAATCAATAATATAGACAAGGAAGTTGTGGATTACCTTACCTCAATAAGATATTTGCATATTTATATGTGAGCTACAGACATGCTACATTGTAAGCATAAATGCCAGGTTTGTCAATCATGTCATAAGACTTGATCAAAAATGAAACACAATTCAAATATCACTTCCTAAAAATTACTGATTAAAAAATCTAGCTATAGCTACAATGAAATTCAATTTGTGTCATATCCATATTTCCTTGTTTCATTCACTCAGAGCTTTTTCAAATGCTTCCCTTATAAAGATATCCTACAAAACTGCCTCAATATTCACAGCAATGGCAAACCAATGCACACAGGCAATTAATAGTTACAACAAAACTTGAAACAGCAAAATCAGTGATTTCTGACTCTGTATTAAAAGACTCAACTAGCTACATTTATCTGTTTAATTGTCTAAACTAATATATATATATATATATATATATATATATTTTTACCTGGTGGTGACTGCTGCCCAGTAGAAGTCCCTCCTCCATTCTCTGCACCTCCTAACCAAGGAGACAGGTGGTTGAGCGACACCTGCTCGATGAATGATGTTCCATATTTACGGAAGTACCACCATTCAAAGATCTGTAAATGGAAAAGTAAAGTGAACACAATGATATTACTGAGGTTTCAAACAAAAATTGAACAATTGATATATCAACACAGTACAGTATATTAAAGATTAACAAAAATGTACTCATAGATATGGAATAATTCATTGATGAAAATACAATATTGCCATTCGGATGCCTTACTCATGGAACTATGGCTTTTGATCATAATTCAATTATGTGGGAATAACTCATGTGCCAATGAATTTTCAAATGAAACATTTATAATTTTTCTTTCTCATGAAATAAGAACTTACTTATTCTATAATGAAAATGTAATTGTTTATTTTGAAAATTTACCAGAATCAAACCAGAGATGAGAGATGAAGTCCCTGTCAGTGCCACATAAAATTTTGGAGTGAGCGTATTCAGGAACATTGCAACTGCAGAACAAGAGAAAAAGAGAAAAAGAAAAAGGATGGTATTATTATTCTCCAAACAGGTATTCTTTTTTAAAGGCCCTACATTATGGAAATTGACAATGGAATAACTGCCTCCATTATGTTATACACACAAACAAACAAATCAACTATGTACATAGTCATAAACAATATTAAGTTAGTCAATGCGTCTACACACGTGTAGTACACATACAATCAACACGGTACATGTGTTATGAAGGGATATTCTGACTTCTGTGTACATACTGTAATACAAAACTAAAAGCAATGGAGTTCAAGTTGAGGGAACAGTATTAAAAACCACATCTAAAGCAAATAGAGTTGTGTCTGTCTGATCACAAAACCCCAACAGTTTAATCAATTACACAGACAATGGACGTATGCTTTCTTTCATTTTTTTCTTTCATGTTTTTTTTAGATAAAAAATGCAAAGTTGCAAAACCTATTAAACATATAGGCCTAATAACACTTTCTTAAATTCTAAATCTAATAGTCACCTCAGATGCATGACTATGCACGACTTTACTACAAATATTACATGTACATGTACATAACATGTACTGTACTTGAAAGAATACAAGCTGTGATTTGGCCAAATAAGGTCATAGGCTAAACAAGAGGTGAACAACCACTGTGCAAGCACAAGCTACAAATGAACATGTCGTACATTAGATCCCCTTTTACACACAGAGCCAGTCTCAAAAGTAATCATGAACTGTTGATTCCATTACAACTGGATAATACTTGTGGTGTACAGGACTGATAAGCAATGTTCAGCCCCCCCCCCCCTTCATTTGTTGACTTTTTTGTTTCTACTCAATCCATCTTTTTATAGTTGCCAAATTACATTTATACTGATATTTATTGTGCAACTTTTGCTAACCACTCTTCTCCATATCCTTCAGAGATCGGATTTCATTGAGGTCTGATCTAAATATGTTGGGGTAATCTAGAGGGGGTTTAGGACACTAAAATCAAATTTTGGACTTGTTGATCCAGAATTACTTTCAATTCGTATCAAAATCATGGAAGTACATTGTATGTAGTTCCTGATAAAAAACCTAAAAGAATACAAAGTTACTGTAGCGATACAAATTTTCATTCCCAAAGACTGATGTAAACTAAGTCTAAAATGCGTTTGTAATCACCCATTTCCGCACCCGACTGACCGTGCAAACTACCTTCTTGAGTTCACTAGTGGACACGTCTTTCTTCTCATACAAAGCAATTTTAAATTGGTCAAGAATTTAACAAAAGATGGGGAAATTTGTTGCCAGAGAGATCACGCTTTGCTCACTTTCCACCAGATGATAATAAGCAAACATGCCATTTACATTTTAAAAAACTCTGACCTCTCATAAGAGTTTGCGATGTTGGTTTGTCGCCACCACAAATACATGCAGTGTACGCTAAAATGGCTGTTTTTCACGTTGCCAATTTGAGATATATTATTTATAGCAATAGCTATAAATGTAAAAAGTCACAAGCGCAGGGATTTTGCTAAACTCAGCACACTCCGTTCGTACACCCTAAGAACACAAAACTAATTGATATTATCATGAAGTATCAATTTAGTAAAGCGAAAACACACATTTTCACATGTATTTGTGTTTGCGGCAAAACCAACATCGCAACCTCTCAGTGTGAGTGGTGGCAGAATTAAGGTTCTTAAGATGATTTTCTGTGAGTTCTGTTGTACATGTAAATAGTAAATGAATCTAGAATAGGAGCCTCCGTCATCATGATTCATTGGTATCAGAAATTGTTCAGAAACGTATCCAAATTTGACCCGGAACTCCGGCGTGGAGATACCCTACTAAAACATGCCAAAAATGAAGTAAATATTCATTAAATGTCCAAATAAAGATCATGAGTTAAAATTTGTTATATTTATTACCTGTTTCGTGTCAATTTTCTTGTTATTTTTCGGAAAAACGATATTAGTATACACTTTTTCACAGGTTTTACGGCAAACCGCTGTACAATAAAAGTGCATACCGATGGTGGGTTGCGGGCGGGTGCGCGCCTGTGTGAAGTTACGGTAGATAACTTCACACAGGAGCGCGAGCACCCGCCCGCAACCCACCATCGGTATGCACTTCATGACTTGTATTGTGCAGCATTTTGCCGTGAAAGTGAAAAGTGTATACTAATATCATTGTTTTTCCGAAAAATACTCCATAAATATCAAGAAAATTGACACGAAACAGGTAATAAACATAACAACTTTTAACTCATGATCTTTATTTGGACATTTATTGAATATTTACTTCATTTTTTGTATGTTTTAGTAGATCTAGGGTATCTCGACGCCGGAGTTCCGGGTCAAATTTGGATACGTTTCTGAACAAGCGCCGGTATCTGTTCCAGCCTCAGAATATCACTAAAATGTGACATTTATTGACACTTTTTAAGTCTCTAAAGTTTAATTTTAAGACAGATTGAAATTATTTACTCGAGAGATGAGTCAATTTCAAACAGAAATTGAAACTTGGAACAAAATAATATTGAACTAAAAGACAAGCTATGAAACGTCTCATTTTATATAGAGTCTAGTCTAGGCATGGACACGATGGAAATGATGAAAATAAGTCAAATAGTCTACAACAAACATGACAAACGTGGCCTACTACAGCTTCAGTCATGTCAGATCACACACACTGCACTGACGGGCGCAGGCACTGCACTGGCAGATAAGGCTAGACATATTATTACTGTAGGATAACCTGCATGTACTACGTACACACTGCATGATGATTCGCTGGCAGACATCCGAAATCAACTCACAGCGGAAAATCGTAACCAAATTCGCATTTATTTTTTCCTGCCTTACCATTCATGCTTGCTCAAAAATGCAACAAATCTGGCTTCTCAAAGATCTAGAGACATCAAAAAGTACTCAAAGTCACCGAAGAATAGTCGGAATTCGCCGTGAAATAGTATTTAATCTCTCAACATATGGAGTTTTCCTCGCAGACACGGCAACTAGTTTATGTTGAGGTCAAAGGTCGCCAATCGTCTGGCCTTCTAAATATCGGTAATAAATCTTATGATATCGCCATACTAGCTTTATTTTTTAAATAAACAAACAAAATATAATTTAAAAACAAAAAAGCTCAAGAATTTGACAGCAAAAGATCAAATGTTCTTTAATTACTACATCTATATTTTGTTCATTATTTTCCAAGTACAAAATTAAAATACACTTACACTTTTTTCACGATGGATTCTTCCCTATCATGAAAGTGCTACTCATTCAACAGAACGGTTTCAATCGTAAATAGACGCCCCCCCCCCTCCCTCCCTCCCACTCCCTTTGAGGCCCGACAGAATGAAATTCAAGTTTGCCTGGTGGATAAGCAGGGAGTTATAACATGAATAAGACTCAAACAGATAAACTATTCAGATAAACTATTGTTCCTATGAAACCAAACCCCCAAAACGAAAATCTCAAAACTCATTATATTAGGGCTCAGAAGGGCCAAAATGCTTCAGTTAATCCTACATGTGTAATTGAAAACTTTCCCAAAAGTATGGTGGCAAATAAATTGCAGTTAATTTTCTTTTCAAATTTGATTTTTGCAACTGGCAGTGTTTTGTTTACCCCATTTGTTATGTGAAATATACAAGGGCCTCGAAATTCACTCATAGAGATAATTTGAAATTTTGAAACTTTCGTAAACTCAACTTGATCCTACAGATAAATTATGACATAAGCTTTTGAGGGCTTGCAAATCCTTGATATAGGGATCAAAATATAAAATACAAAGGAAAGAAAGTCAAGACAGACAGGGACAAAAAGAGTGAAGGGGCGGAGGTGGAGGGGGAGGGGAGGGACCCGGGGAGAGAGAGAGAGCGGGAGAGGGGAAGAGAGAGAAACGGAAAGAGATAGAGTGACAGACAGACGGAGAAAGAAAGGGAGGGCCAGTAAGAGAGAGAGAGAGAGATAGAGAGAGGGTGAGAGAGAGAAACAAAAAGAGACAGACAGACAGACTGAGAAAGGGACTGCCAATGAAAGAGAGAGAGAGAGAAAGAAAGAGAAGGGGGGGGGAGAGTCGGACTGAGTATGTCTTCCTTTTTCATCAAACCCATTGAAATGGGATATTCTGAGATATTTCTTGTCTAGCTGATTTCATTTTCACTTCAAAAATGGAATCATACCGCCTGCCTCACAACATGAAGAAGAAAGGAAAAAAATTGATTTATTGCATACTAGACTTGTATAATATATGAATATAACCAAGTTCCACACAGAGGGCAGCAATACTTTTTGAAAGTATGTTATGCATTGCCTAAGCTCAGAGATTTTGTTTCCCTTCTCCCATATCACTATACAAATGTCTACTGTTGGCTAAGGAACCAAACATTTACTGAAAATCACAATTCTTACTACATAATGGAAATATATTCAGGAAAATATTTTAGTTTTTGTTATCATCAATCATCATTGCAGGTCATCAAATAATCATATTAATCTTCATTTAAAATATAAAAATAAGTGACTCTGATCATGTTATCACACAATGCCAGTGATTTTGTTAACAAATAATGAATCAACTTGTCAAATGTATATTAGTAAGCACTATAATCAAATGATTATATCAATAGGCTAAGAAACAAGAAATATATTTAAACACATGAAAGACACACACACATAATGTGAAGTCCCAGTGCTAACAAAAAATGAAAAGATCAACAGACCAAACTGACTAGACTTCCATGACTATTATTTTATTACTAATTTGTGTACAGACAGAATTCATGACATTTCAAAGTTCTCTTGAATAAATATATGCTTCTAATTTTAAAACTTAATGTTTACTATTATATGCACAGTATTAGACGAAGTAGTATTATACAAATATATGCTTCTAATTTTAAATACTTAATGTTTACTATTATATGCACAGTATTAGACGAAGTAGACTGAATTCCCATGACCCAAATTTATGATAAGATTATTCAGCTTCTCAAAATTCTTCATGACTGTACTGGACATCTTTTACCCCTGTACAGTTAGTATGTTATTTATGATTAAAAAATGTAGATTAAATGACAATGCCCAATCCCAGCGATCTACAATTAGAAATTTAAACTGGATTGATTCATTATAGTGTTGTAAAAGTAATAACACGAAGGTAAATTGACACTGTACTTCTTCTCTTTCAAAGTAATGTCATTAAAAGAAGTAAAGAACAAGAAAATTCAGACAGAGGATGTGGAGTATACAGGATGTGAGTAGGGTAAACAAAGCAGGAAATTACATCCTTTAAAGTGCAGCTGGGGAAATATGCCACCCAAATAAACTAGTTGACAAAATGATTTCTATACTTTGTAAATTTCAATATTAAATTAACAAAATTAAAATCTTTAGTTGAGAGAAAGTTTTTTAAATCATGTACCTCTCTGCATTCCATTTTGGCTGTCAAATTGTGTTGTTGTGTTGTTGCTGCTGCTGTTGGTTGGTGTTGTTGGGGGGATTGTGGGTGTAATTGTTGTTTTGGTTGATTTATTATTTTATTTTATTTTTCATGTTCATTTCACAGGTACATAAACTGCACACAGTACTGCATCATCAAATTTACTAGACACATTGTACACTCATGCCAGCACAGATTAAGTCAAGTCCATCAAACCAATTGCTATATTTGTTGAATTCAATTCAATTTTTATTTATTTTTTTCATTAAAACATAATAATCAAATAATGAATACATACAAAGAAATACATTGAAAGGACTCCAAGAAAGCAAAGCTATTAGGAGGGGCCCTGTTCTTAGAGTATTGTTTTAATGGCTCATTTAAGCCAGTGGCATAATTATACAGTAATCTAGCATTACCCTGCTGAAACAAAAGTATTCCTTGAAAACTGCCCACATGCACCTTATAACACTAAAAGAGAAGGTTGAATTCTGGGAAGAGGTGAAAAATAGTTTGTAAGCGTTATCATTGTTATTATGCAAGTATGGCAGAGAATTAGATAAAAAATGTTCCCTCAAAAGCATGGCTCTTCAAATGCCTTAATATTCTAAATATGGCATGTAACATCATAAAAATCGGGACAGATTTGTATGCCACATGTTCCTGTAGTCCCATATACATCTTTTTGTGTACAGTGCTTGTAACTTTACCAAGACTGGACCAAACTTCTCATCATTTTGATGATTCCAGAACCTTGAGGTACACACCAATACTTATATGCTAAATGATCAATCCTTTCTGATCGATTTCACAATGTTTCTTTCACAATGCAATCTAATCTAATAATTTTCATGAAAACCACTGTAACCAAATATAACCTTGAGCCTTGAGGTGGTTTTTTTTTTTTACATAACCCTCATCAGGGCTTAACACTAACTTGGGCCCAGGAAACATACAAATGTAGGAACCTAAAATATAAGTTTGTACCCCAAAAATTGAAGTTTTTACATAGGGTATTTACATTCAAGACTGTAAAAAGTTCAACCTGAACCCATTCTAAAAATGGTAGTGGAGAGCCCTGCCCTATGTCTTACTATTTTTTTTTTTTTTTTTTTAAGTAGGGTAGCCCAACCTTCAGTGATCAGTTACTACATTACAAGGGGTCATATTGCAACTATTACAGTACATAGCCTACATATATGTTGATGCTGTGGGTTTGTATCCCACCACTGCCATCATAACTGCTAAAGTATAAGTCAGTTCACAAAGGAATAATTAAATTAACATCTTGAGTCAACTTCATTCCCGGCCAAGTGTACACCTCTTGGATACAGCAGCAGGGCATTACACAATGCTGTTCACATCAAATATATTTACAATTTTACATATTGATATTTAAACACTATTGATACCATGGGCCCGTTCCTAGAAAACGGTTTCTAGGAACGGGCCCCATATAGTTACATTAACTGTTGCAGTATTTATGAAATAAAAACCCATCTTGAGCAATTGTATCTAGGCTTTAATTTTCAAACATAAAACATATACTGTAAAGTAAATGTGATAACTAGTTTGTGTTAATGTGATTCACTTAAAAATGAACATGGTTTAATTGTATTTGTACCCATTCCATAGCTGTACAGGTGTGCCTGTTAGAATTCCTACAACAACTTTAGTGAGAATCCTCACAGATTGGTTCAGGATAGACCATACATGAGTGGAAAATTATTGTTTAAAATTTCATTTTCAGCTTAGAAACCCCAAACTGGTAACAGAATATTTCTGAAGAGTTCCTGAAACAAGTAATTTAGATAATGTGGGAGAAAATTGAATCCTGCTACCAATGATTTTGGTGTTTATTTTACATTGGTGCAGCAGGACACAGATCCTATTACTAGGTTTGAGTCTATGAATGATTATGATCATATATTTAAACCTCATACATTGATGGAACACAAAAATAATGTCATTTAATTTGCTGCCCTCTACTACAAATACAATGACAAGCTGACACAATTGGTGGAATATACATATAACGAAAGAACAAGAAGAATTCCTGTTGGTTTTAGCAGCAGATGGTTCCAAGCCTCCGAGGGATACTCCAATTGGGGGCACACAAGGGTTGTGTAGGCCCTGGACTTTACATTCCTGGTAGTGGAACGGGGGAGAGAGTCCTGCAAAGAAGACCTACATGTAAAGTACAGCTTGCTTTAGGCCCTATTAGTTTATGCCGGATGGATTGGCAGTGCTTTTTCCATGAAGATCAGCCTTACTTATACTAGCCCCTACCTCTCAGTTTGATGGCACACATACACAACTCACCATTCATACGTCACCATGGGTGCAGCACTAACTTTAAGTTTAGAGCTGGTATATAGCTGCATGGCTGGAGTTGATCATCACACTCACCGACACAGTCGGAACTCTAGACCGGCCCAGCCCCCTGGCAGGAAGCCTGCCCATGTGTCAGGCCCATGCATACAGCCACACACTTTGTGACTAGCGACAAGCAAGAATCATCATGTTTTCAAAGATTACTCACCTACATTCACATTTTCCATAACTTTCAATGGTGACCTCAAAATGTAGACAAGCACACCAACCAACAAAAGCCAAATCACCCATAAATAGACCCAGATCCAAGCAAAAAACGACTTTATATTGTCAACAAAACTGCCCCAAATGCCAGCCATCGTACAGTGATCAAGGGATTTTCAGAGCTGTCGTGTGTATGTACCTCCAAGTAAACAGCAAGTAGTTCCATATCTTACAACAGCTCACGAAATGCATAGATAATTAATGATACCGTCGCACGAAGTGAACCAATTTCAGAAACCTAAGCGGTACACGTAGTAAACAGCTGTGTGTGTGTGTGTATTGGGTTTTTACAGACGTGTATCAATCAGATATGATTATTTACGTCTGGGACCGACCTTTAAACGTCACCATCCGAAAGACGTGACTCAGTTTCGAACCTGCGTCCTCGGCTGAATCAGTTTGTAACTTCCACTTTTTAGCTGGATTACAGGCGCACGCCACAACGCCTAGTTGCCACAGGAAACATCATAAACTCAAGCTGGCGCTATATCATTTTGAAACCAAGGGAGTACAATTATCTTTTCACAGTAAAAACAAAATAATACACACACCAAATTTTTTTGGGGGGCAGTCATGATGCGATGACTCAATCAATGTATGTGTTATGAAAAAAGAAGTGCAAAAGTGTGTGAGGAGAGGACGTCGATAAAATGGACACATAAAGAAGAGCAATTTTAAGAGGGATCGAATCTTCATTATACACACTTGAAGTGGAAGTGATATGTCAGAAACAAATAAAAGTTTGAGAAAATCTGAAAAATACTTTCATTGAACACTTAAACTTTAATGCGATCATTAAAGTTCCATGCTTGTTACTTTACAGTCAATTAGTTCTGACTAAACATACAAAGTAATGACACATTCAAACGTTATGAACAAATTATCAATTACACAGAAGGTTTTTGTGTGTACAACTATTGAAGAGACTCAACTCCCAAATCCTAATCCTTCTCCAATTTATTTTAAACTATTTTTTCTATCCCGCTTAACAACCCCCTCCCCCTCCTTTTCACTATTTTATTTTGTACGGAACTTATTTTTAACAAGCTTTTATTTTTATTAGGTTTCGTCATATTTCACTATCAAATAAATATATACGTCTTCTAATAAAAGCTGTTAATAACTCGATCTAAATTTGTAACATGTATCTAATTTCCTTTTGTGTGATTATAATTTACAAAGAATTGTTTTATATTGTAGTAGGGCTATTTCTATCATTTGGAATATGGAAAACAATAAATTAATGTATTGAATTCAGAAGTCTCACTTCGGAGAGGAAATGTTTTTATTATGGTATATTCTTTCTTTCTTCCTTGTTATTTTACTGTAAATGATTGAGATTGATTTCGCGTCACTTGAAAGCCTATACCCCGGCCATACACACCAGCAAAACATAGGCTTACTTTAAATCCTCCCCAAATCAAAATATCCTGATCTCCTTTACCACTAGATTAAAAAACAAGAGCAGAACATCCTGCCCATGTTTGTCTCTTTTCCGATCTTATGGAAGAGGAAATCAGAGGGTGGGCTTATTATGCTAAGAATATTAACCTTTTAGGCCTATTTCCGAGGTTATTGGTATCACGAAACACAATATGTCGAAGAGAAAGTGGCCTCGAAAAAAAAATGGAACTACATGATTCCCATACCCCCAGTGGCGGATCTATACGGGGGGGGGGGGGGGTTAGGGGTTTAACCCCCCCCCCTCCCCTCAAGCCAAGTGAAAATGTGATGTGCATAGAAAAACGCCATCATGTGCCAGACCCACACAGTATCCGCATTGTCATTGGGTCAACCCCCCCCCCCTTAGCAAAAAGCTAGATCCGCCCCCGCCCCCTTTCTCTCTCTCTCTCTCTCTTTCTCTTCAATTCCATTCTCTCATCTCCTCTCTTCCTCCTTCCTTGCCTCCTTCCACTCTTCTCTAACTTCTCCTATCCACCCCCTTCCCTCTTTAATTCTTTAACCCACATAAAGATACCCAGGTACACCTCCACATGCCAAAGTCCTCTGTGACACCCTCCCCGCCGTTCCCGCCAACCCTGTACCCCAAAACCATATTTCCAAGTATAATGGAGATAAAGATCGTTGTGATCAAAATCTGCAATAGCCAAGTATTGATTATACTTCTGTCAAAAGTATTTAACTGCCTTCAGAGCTAAAAGATTTTGACCTAATATGCCGGACTACCCTAAAATAAAGTAAAGATGACTGCATGCAACACGATGAAAAAACATGTCTTTATGATATTTTTCTAATAAAGCTGGCACGTTTATCAAAGAAAGTCCTTGAATAATTACTCTTTCCCTTCCACCCATGGCTAAAATAGACATCACGGGGACCACAAGGATGTACCAAACTTTACAGACTGAAGAGAGAGGGCAAACAAGGTAAAGACAATCGGTCGATCATTCTACTTACTCCACGAAAATGAAACTCGATCATAAAGAGGAAATTATACGTGGATGTTACATTTTGCGTGGAGGCTTATGCAGATCTGAGGGCGGTCTGTGTTTAGGGAGTTACGAGGGTGAGCCCCCCCCCCCCCTCTCCCATCCCTTCCACGCTCCCCTCGAGTGATTTGGCAACCCCCTCCAACCCTAATCCAAGCGGGTCGCAAAGACATCACTAATGCAATTAACAGGTGCGTTCTGAAGGTTTCTCTCATGTCTTCCTAAAATTGTCTTATCACCCCCCCCCCCCCCCTCCCTTCATTTCTTCCCCTTATGTCGTCACACTACGCTATAATGGCAGTAGAGCTGCTAAATGTCACTCTCATTGTGTTAGGGCTCACTGTGTGACGCACATCTTCGTGGTAGTCGGTGCAAGGAGATCCCTGGTTGGTGTAAACTTTTTCATTCTCTCTCTTTAGTAAAAACTGCCCACGTTAGAGATCTCCATACAGTCATACATCACTTTGTTATCAGTCTACCCGGCATTGTTTTATCAAGGAATAGGACAACGACAAAGTCAAAACAATGGCGGTGGTAGGTACTTCAAATAAGGTAAGTACCAGTAACATTACAGTCTTTTATAAATCGATGTCGATTATCTCAACTTTATTGATCAGACACAGGCATGGCGTATGTGATTACAGAGTCATTTTGTAAGTTATATAGCGATACTAAAAGGGGGTCATAATTCATTGTTCACATAATTATATACAACCTATCTACATTTTACGGATCTGGCTGGAGTGCAGCGGGCAGGGATGGCAGAAATTATTTAAAAGACAAGAATGGAGAGGGTGATCGCCCCCCCCCCCCAATGGAGTAAAAACTTGAAAAGGGGGAGATAACTAAAATCCTTTACTACTAAAAAGGTGAGTCTCACTAATCATGAGAAGCACAACTTGAAGCTATGTTCGAACCTGGCGATCGAGAGAAGCAAGCGAGCAAGTTTGGTGGATTATCATTTCGCTATACACAGTTTCCTTGACAACTTTCGGTACATTTTGCATTCTAAGTTTCTAACAGCAGCAATGTGAATGTTTCGAATTCCATTTACCAGAGTTCCAAAAGTATATAGTGCAAATATCCGGGATAGGGCATTACAATACTTTATTATGTTTCATTATCTTGGCTGCATTAGTTGGGAAATCATTTCCTAATCTTAATCTATTTCAGTTTGTTTAAACTAACGGTTGATTTTATGAGGCTACATAATTATTGACCGATCAGAAACGTTTTGAGAAAATGAATAAACATAATTTGGGATTTCAGGAGCAATGTATTTATTGATGATTATTGACTTACCAACCAATTTTTGTAAACTAAGTCATGCCTCTACATTTCGTTTTCATCAGAATTTTGTCAGTAATGGTTAGCATGGCTGGGAGGCTAATATTTTCATCCATGTAGGCCTACGCTTTATACAATATTTCATTGTTATCAACAGTAATTCTGTTATTTGACCCTTAGATGTAACTTCACAATAAAAGCTTATGTTGAAATTTGCCTTGTGCATAAAGTTAACATTAATTTTATATAGGAAATCAATCACTAAAAAGGTTTCGATTCTCGTCCTCGTAAAAATGTAATGGCATTATTGGCGTATCCATTTATTCATGGGGGGGGGGAACCAAAACTGCACAAATAATTTAAGATAGGCTAAAGTTCAAAGTTCTGCTGACAACAAAATGTGCCGACCAAGTCTATAAAAAGCCATTGTTGCCCTGGACCCCCAACCCCTTCACCGAAGTTGTCATACGGTAACATAGCTAATGCCAACTTTTGTGCGTTTGAAAGGCTAGTTAAGCATACGTGACAGCAGAGACAGCATACAGAGTTAATATAACCTTAACCTCAATAAATCAAGTTGATAATCTGGCTGAGACATTTTATTGCCTAGACCTATATTGACTAATGATCCTCCAGGATATTATGGCCATGAAAAACAAAGCTGTTTCGTGAAGTAGGGGAAACTGAGGATCTGCATGAAGAACCTGTCGATTTGTGATCATGGAGGGTTGTTAACCTATAGGCGGATCCGGGGTGGAAATCGGCTGCCACCCTCCTTACAGGATGAAAACTTACAAAACTTGCCTCTTGGAGCGTAAAAAGGGATCACTGCCCCCCCCCCCCCTCCCCCTCCCAACCATCAACCCCATGTTGGAGACTCGGAGAGACCGGAAGGATTCCGACAGAAAATAATTGAAATTTTATTGAAAAGTGCTCGTGAAATTTGCTCCTTTTTTGCGCCCTACCCCCCTCCCTTCCATCAGACGGCTCGGAGAGGACCGGCGGCATTTGTGACATCATGTTAGTGTATATAAAGATAAATTAATGGGAAAACCGCCCCTAAGAACTCGATTTTGGCTTTTATGTAGAATTGGTCCGTCGTATCAACATTTTCCCGGCCACATTTTTAATCCTAGGTCGGTGAGCGGCACCTCCCCCCCCCCCCCCCCCCGGTGAGTCCGCCCCTGATTGCATAGCCATAATGCATACCCCCTTGTCCTTCTAGCGGTAGCTCGACTGTTAAAGGAGTGTTTAATATTTTCCTTGTTTGTGTTGTAATGTCACATTAAAAATTAGGCTTCCTGTGAATATTACAAAAGTATTGATACTCTGTAATTCTTTGACGTGCCGAGACTGCAAACATGATCAAAATCAATATCGAGAATATTTTTTTGATTTGCATTACCCAACAAAGCAATATTTGTCATTGTGTCCAACTAG